ACCTATTCCTGCTATCTACTTATCTTTTCTTGATGAGTCCAGAAATGTCTTTGAAAACAGTTAATACATCTAAGCACTTTTTGCTATTACAGGGCCATGTTACATTACTATGCAGATACATGAGATGATCAGTAAGAGGTTTCTTTTGGCTCACAGTTCCGGGCTCTAGCCCATGGGGGGTGGACCTATTGCTTTTAGGCCTATGGTGGAAGCATTAGGTGGAAGCATGCAGCAGAGGAAAGCCCTCCCCATTATTAGTGGGGAAGTGAAAAATATAACAAAGAAGGGGCCATAATCCCACTGTTTCCTTAAGGGCCCTCCCCCAATAACCTGAAGACCTCCCACTAGGGCCTGCCTCTTAAAGGTCCAGCCACCACCCATAGCACCACTCTAAGGAACAAGTGTTTGACACATGAACCTTTTGGGGACATTCCAGATCCAAATGGTAGCACAGGGAATACCCCAAGATTACCCTGAATTTTTAAGTGTAGGGTTAATTTTTCATAATATTTCCATCTCTCTCTCTCTCTAAAGCTATCAGCAGTCCTAGTCTTTCCTTATAATTACCTGGTCTAAAAAACATATTTTTAAGTAGATAGGGTTTTGCTAGGTTGTCTAGGCTGGTCTTGAACTCCTAGACTCAAGCAAGCCTCCTGTCTCAGCCTCCTGAGTAGGTGGGACTGTAGGTGCCCAAATAGTTGTCTTCTTTTAACAGGGTATGGCCTGAGCAAACCAATAGCCAGTCTTGTTAGAAAAGTGGCCCCCAAAATAAAACTAGATAGGTAGTAGTAAAGTGAACGAGGTTTAGTATGTGGAACTTGTTACAGGTGTCTTTGCCTCTCAGACCTCTGTTTCATCTGCCTCCATGGTCTTGACTCTTTTCTAAAAAGAATAGTGAAGTTATCAGAGAAGTGATTTCCAGATAAGATGCAAAGTAATCGTGATTTCCTAACCCACTTTTTAAAAAAATGATCAAAGGCTGAATTCTGGGCAAGCTAATCAAAACCTCAGATCAGGCCTTAGCAGAGTTCTCAGATTGCAGGTACTTTCTCATCATATGAGGGCTTTTCTGCACTTGTCTTCCAAGTGCAGCCCACAGAGCAGGAGCACAGGTGCTGTTTGCAAGGCTGAGCTACCTCTGACAAGGTGAGCCCGAGGCCCACCCTGTCTTAACAACATCCCCAGGAGAAACACACACACACACATATGAAAGTGTGAGAGGCACCAATGAATAACACGCTTAAATTCATTCCCACATCCCACATCCTACGCTCTTAAAGCTCATTCCAATGAAACATTTCTCTTTCTTCAGGTTGTAAATCATATCCTTTTTGGGAGGAAGTACCAGAAATCGAACACAGGACCTCATGCTTGCCAGAGAGATGCTGCGCCACCGAGCTACATCCCTGGCTATCATATTCACTTTAAATGTGTTTCTTAGGCAGGTGTGGTGGCACACGCCAGTAATCCCAGCACTCGGGAGGCTGAGGCAAGAGGATCGTTGCAAGTTCGAGACCAGCCTGGGCTACAAAGTGAGCTCAAGGCCAGCCTGAACTGCATAGGGAGACCCTGTCTCAAAACAGAAATACATAAATAAATAAATGTGTTTCTTTTGAAATGGACAAAAATGGAGACTTCTCTCTTCTCTGTGATTCTTCTTTATTGGTCCAGCAGCTTCCTGGGCCCTTATTTCCTGATTTGAAAATGATTTATCTATCTGGGGTCACCGCACATATAGTTCTAAACTGCTGCTTCTCCTTTTATCTACAATAAGCTGTTAGACTGGGGTGGGGTTAGGGTGAGAAAGTAAAAGCCCTCGCAAGAGCTGCAATCTCTATTCTATGACTGACATGACAATGTAATTAAAACATGTGTACAGGCTGTTTATCATAAAAATGGAGCTGCAATCTTAAGCTTAATTCTCTTCTCACTAAAAGTCACTTGAAAATGGATTTGAAAACTACAGTTGAAAAGCAAGCATCTAGTTGACTTGTCAGACTTTTCATTCACTTTTTGTATTCATCCTAACAAATATTTATTAAAAGCCATAAAGTTATATAGCACTGTGGTAGGACACAAAGATACACGATAATTCTTTCAGTACTAGAGATCAAATTTAGAGTCTTGCACATACTAGGCAAATGTTCTACCCCTGATCTATACCCCCAGCCCCACAAAGATGAATTTTAATAGTCCCTACAAGAAAGTTGCTTTCAGCTAATAAGAAAAAAATGGGATAGATTCCCATTAGTAAGTATAATCAGGAAATAAACTGCTAAGTGCTGGTAGAGCTTATCAATTAAGCTATTTTAGATATAAGAAACTAATTTTGTATACTTTAAGTAGAAGTTTACTAGAAGGGGATTGCGTACCTACTAGTCAGGCTATAGTAGGTTATGCTTCTCTAAAGAATATTCCTCAAAATGTCCCACACGTGTCAGCAGGAGTGTCTCAGCTTTCCGCTGCTGAACAAATACTCAAGATAACCAACTTATATTTTGGCTCACAGTTCTAGATTCTTCAGTCCATGGTCAGTGGCCCCATTGTTGTTGGTCCTGTGAGGAGAGGCAACACCTCATGGGAGAAGCTCAGGATCAACAGAAACTGTTCCCTTCATGACCCGGAAGCAAATGAGAGAGGGAGAAAAGGAAAGAGGCCCCATAATCTCATGTCACAGTAACCGAAAGGCCCCCCAGTAGGGCATATCTCTGAAAGATTCCACCCTCTCCTAAACGTGCCAAACTGGGGGCTAGGTCTTTAATGCACAGGCCTTTGGGGGACACTCAGAAACCAAACTATGGCTAGGAGGCCCCGCCCTGCACTCAGCCAGAGAATCAGACGAACCGAATTTCCACCATATTGTATGTTGTGCCATCAAAGACACAAAGTCTCATGTGATCACAGCAGAAGAAGAGAGAGTGGAGGGTCACACAGAGGATTTCTATCCCCTCAGCCTGTAAGTGACATGGATCCTTTCTACTCCGATGCCGATGGTCAAAACGGATCACATGGTCTCCGCTAACCGCCCGGGTTTGGGAAATGTAAAGGGACAAATAGAATCCTTAGTGAGCATTCCTACCTGTGCTGAAGAATGGTTCATAGCCCCAGAGGATGAGACCAGGGGTCAGGGAAAGTCTGGAGACCCGGTCACCCACTTCCAGTTCTCTGACACCCTTCTTAATGAGAGAAAGGAGAGGGAGCGGGAGAGAGAGAGGATGTGCTTTAGGTCCCACCTCCAGAGTGAAGTAAGTGCACAACTTGACAGTTTTACTAAAAGGGCCAGGGATATAGTTCAGTGGCATGGCACCTGGCTGGCAAGCGCGAGGTCCTGAGTTCGATTCCTGGTTCAAAAAAAACAAAAACAAAACAACAGTTTTACCACAAAGGGGGAGCAATAGTTCGTCCAAACAAAATTTCTTTCAATAGGAAAAGAGCAGGGAGTGTGTAGGGGGCAAAGACACACACCTGCTCCTGAGCTGCTCAAAACACCTGGTATTCAGAGTTGACAGAATCAAGATGGTTTTACAGAGGAGGCGGCTCCCTTGGTGGATGGGATGGATGTAACAAGGACAGCTAATCCAGGCCGAGAGGCCAGCACAAGCAGAGTGCAGCTGCAAAGAAGTGGCAGCCGCCTGCAAGGAAGAGAAGGCTTGGGGCTTGACTGGAGGGTTTGCAGCTACTTTTTATCCAGCCTACCCAGCTGTCTTCGGCGCATGTGGTTTTTGCTCTGGGGACACAAGTGGGTGGTGGCTGACTGGCGTAGCCCAAATGAGGTCATGAGTTTGAAGCTTCAGCCCTCTGAGGTGGCCAAGATTCTCACTTCTCCGCAAGGCCTCTCTTGGCAGTTAGCTCATCTTCCTTGCTGCTCGGAGGCCTCAGGATAGCTGGGTTTCTTGCCCCAGTGGTTCAGAGCTCCTGTGAGTGTGAAAATCAGGACCTACTAGGTCTTAAGGGTTTGGCCAGACTGGAAAAGAGTCATTTCCTCCGCATTCTGTGAGCCTAAATGTGTCAGAGGAGCCGTGTGGAATCCAGGTGGAAGGCACTGCCCAAGCACAGGGTCACAGGGATGTGGCCTCCCTGGGGGTCTTTGGATGTCGCTGCTATGGACGATGGCTCTGCACTGGCTCTTGTGCGCCCACCTCCCACCCAGCTTGGGTCACGAAGAGCAGTGGCTAATGGTGTTTGGAGGATGAGTTGGAGAGAGGCTGCCCAGGTCTCAAACACCGTCCTAAGGAGCTGACACTTCTACAGCCTAAATGAAAACATTCAGCCAGGCATGCTACACGTGCCTGTCAACCCAGCCTTCAGAAGGCTGAGGCAAAAGAATCACACTGGGCTACACAGTGAGTCCAAGGTCAGGCTGAACGACACAAAAAGACCCTGTATGAAAAAAACAAAAAGAAAGAAAAACTGATGGTGCTAGGGAGAGGGCAGAGGTCTTTCTCTTTGTGGGCCTTTTCCCAGGCTTTCCTCCATGTCTTAGTGGCCAGAAGTGAATCACATCTGTACCCCACGCCGCAAAAGAGTTGGGAAAGTGAGTGTGATGATTAATTTTAGGAATTGACTTGACTAGCATAAGAAATGCCTAAGACCCAGGAAACACTTTTGTTACTGTAGTAGTTCTATGGTATTGGGGATTGAACCCAGGGGCCTTGGACTGGGCTATATCCCCAGCCCTTTTTTATTTTTTATTTTGAGACAGTGTTTCACTAAGTTGTCCAGGCTAGCCTTGAATTTGTGATCCTCCTGCCTCAGCTTACCACAATGCTGGACTTACACTCAGCTCAATAATTATTACCATGTGCTTCTACAGGTCGGTCTCCAGAAACTGGCTTATGTGTCTGAGTGCGCTTTGTGGGGAGACCCATCTTGGGGGTCTCCAAGACAGCCTGCGGTCTTGAGTAGAATGAAACAGAGAAAAGAATCCTGGGTCTTTCTACTGAGCTGGGATACCTGTCCTCCCCCGGCAGGGGGAATTTACACCAGCAGGCCGGGATACATAGAGAAGCTGCCACAGCAGTAGACAGCAGGGAGACGAGGTGGGAGAGTATCGCTTTACTCAGGAGAGAGGAACAGAGGCTGTGGGGAGGGAAGGGAGGCCATGTGAGAATGACTCCAGAAGCAGGTGGGCAGCCCATGGCAGCTCGTGACTCTCTTTCATGAGGGAGAACAAAGAAGAGAGCAAGAAGGAAGTCAAAAACGTCAACATCACTTCCAGTTTGCTTCACTGGTTGGTGACCTCATTCACTGAGGCCACGCACACAGAAAGGGAAGTGAACTTGGGAACAGACCATGACTTTGACCTTAGATATTTCAAGGTAGAGGAATCAGAGAGATAGCAAGAGAGAAAGGCCCACAAGGCCAGTGTGAAATACTAGGTCAGAGCTGGAGGAAGACATGAATGATGCACCCGAAGCTACAGTCAAAATCACACTCCCAAGTCATGTCTGTGATAGGGCAAGAGAGATTCCACTTTCTTTCTTTAACTCCATATTAAGAGAAGTCACTTAAGTTCACTTAAGCTCTAGTTGACCACATTCTTTACTCTCTCCCATTGGTTAGTTATCAACCCACTTAAAAGAGAGCAGAGTCATAAAATAGGAACAGAACAAACAGGACAAATTGGGAAGTAGGCTAACAGTTCAACTGCAATGGTCACCTGGAATCCAGCTGCCATTGTCAGATAGCTTCTGGGAGAAGTAAACTTTGTGATAATTGTGTGACATTCTTGTAAGATTCCCAAAAATGAGGTAATGGTTACTACTGAAACCTAAAATGTACTTAAACCAAAGGTGAGACCCAGATCAGGGCAGACAGCTCCTCTGGCTCCTGGTTAGATACTGTCTGTCAACCAGCTCAATAAAGCTCTGTCTGTACCTGCCTTTTCAGTTTTCTTGCGAGTACCTGTCTCATTGAACTCGCTTGCCATATCATCTCCACCAGGACAAGGTCTAGAAGAACAGACGTCCAGTTACTCAGGGAGCTTCCTTCTGGGAAGAGGGACTGAATAGAAAGTAGGTACAGGAGAAAAGTTATATACCCATGCACTGTTGAAGTTCTGAAGTGGTGTGTGTCCAAGAAGGCAAAAATAAGTTATAACTGAGCAGAGCAAGAAGGCCAGTCCCACTTCTTTCTTCCTTTCCTTTAGGGAGGAAAGAAGAGGATTCTAGTATTTAGCACACAGGATGAGAAGCGAAAGGTGACTCAAGGGGTTGGGAGAGAGCAAGCAAGTCACCACCAAATCTTATGAATCAACAGAACATTGCACAAGGAATAAGTGGCTGTAGAGAGAAAGAGTCATGATGAGAGCTTGAAAAAGAATTTGGTGTTGCTATCACTGCTGATCCTGATACAGGAAGCAAGTTCATGAAGAACGGAATTCACAAGAGACTGGGACAGCAGGAACAAACCAAGCTTTATTGAGCCAGCTGACGGAGAGTCTAACCAGGAGCCAGAGAACATGTCCACCCTGATCTGGGTCTCACCTTCGGTTTAAGTACATTTTAGGTTTCCATAGTAACCATTACCTCATTTTGGGGACTCTTACAAGAATGTCACACAATTATCACAAAGCTTACTTCTCCCAAAAACTGTAGGACAGCTGGATTCCAGGTGACCATTGCCGTTGAACTTTTAGCCTACTTCCCAATTTGTCCTGTTTGTTCTGTTCCCATTTTATGACTCTGCTGTCCTTTAAGTGGGTTGGTATCTAACCAATGGGAGGGGGTGAAGAGTGGGGTCAACTAAGTGAACTTAAGTGACTTCTCTTAATATGGAGTTAAAAAAGAAAATGGAGTCTCTCTTGCCCTATCAGACCCAGAGAACAAAGTTTGAATGGAGAAGAGGTGTCAGGAGAAGACAAATCAGAATAAGAGCTGAACCATGATCACAGGTAGAGAAATGGGGTGATATAAAGGGAGAGAGGACATACCCACTTGAGAAAATATTGGGGCAAAGAGAGAATATTTCTTGGCAACAGGAGACCCATCAAATCCTCAAAATGTATTATAACACCACATATCTTCTTCTAGTAGTTCCTTTTGCTATGACCAAATACCTGAGCCTGTGCACTTTATAAAGCAAATGGGGCTTATTTTAATTTTGGAGGCTGAAAGTCCAAGACTGGGAGCTCCCTATGTTGAGCTTCTGGTGAGGGTCCTCCTGGCCGCACTCCAGTATGGCAGATGACATCCTGGCAGGAGGGTGTGCAGGAAGGAGAGAGTGGTCACATGGTGACACAGAAAGCTACAGGACTTGGGAGCCAGGCATACGCTTCTTAAATTTCTTAATCTGTTTTCTTGTTATTTATTTTCTTGAGCAATGGAATTCAGGGCCCCCGGCATGCCATGCAAGTGTTGTACCACTGAGCTACACTCCCAAACTCTCACTCTTTGTTTGCTCCTGCAGAACTAGCCAGGGTTCCACAGAAACTTCCAAGTCCCTTCTGTAGGCACACTCCCAATAACCGGATCACCTTCCACTGGACGCCATCTCACATTGCCACACGGAGGACTAAGCTTCCAGCACACGCACCTGGAACACATTTAAACCATATGCAGAGCAGAAAACCACACCTCATCCTTTAGCTTGTTTGGACCTGCAGACCAAAGGTATAAAATATCACATACACTCAGACAAAGGACACCACAGTTATTCCTGTGTCACCGTAGGGCCTGTAGTTGCTGTGGTGAAAGCTCGCTTTGCACGCACCTTTCCCACGATTTTTTTTTCTACCCGCAGAATTAACCAGAAATAAGAGAAGCAGAGCCCAACTTCCCTTTGCTCTGCAACTCAGAGAGATGGAGTCTCTGACACCAGAGAATGGATAATGTACTGAAACGAAGTCAGAAATACTGACTTCATCAGTACCACCAGAACCAGGTGGGTGCTGTGCAGGGGTTGCTTCACCCCAATGCTGCCACAAGAACAGCTGTATTGAGCTGGTTGACAGACAGTCTCTTGAGACCAATGCTGCCACACAGGTTACGGGTGGCCCAGATTCTCAAGTAGGGCTGTGAGTTTAAAATGCATGGAAGGAATCCTTCACTGCTGGTGGGAGTGTACACTGGCGCAACCACTGCAGAAATCAATGTGGAGATTCCTCAAAGCACTAGGACTGGAGGTCCCATTCCACCCAGCTATTCCCCTTCTGGGTATTTTTTTTCAGAAGAACTGAAAACATCATATCACAGCAACATGTGTGCACCCATGTTTATAGCAGTGCAATTTGTCATAGCTAAGTCTTGGAAACAACCCAAATGCCCATCAGATGAGGAATGGATGAAAAAGATGTGGTATTTTTATACAATGGAGTACTACTCAGCTATAAACTTGAGGCTTTTATAGGTAAATAGATGCAACTAGAGACCATACTCATAAGCAAAATAAATCAGACCCACATGTGTAAACATCATATTGTCTCCCTAGTGTGAGAAAGTGAAAGAGTAAATAAAATCAGAAAGGTACAATAGATATTGTGAAAGGGAAAGAAACTGCTCAAAAGGAAAGAACAACTGGGATAGGGGAAAGGAGAAAAGAAAGAAAGAAGGAAGGGAAAAAATATATACATATACACAAGCTAAGATAACTGTACTACTAATTGCTATTGGTTTATTGAAAGGAACAGTTAATGCTTAATTGATTGATCAATTTTGCATGCTTATATCTAGTAATCTGAACAACTACTTTGACAATAACAATATGCAATATAATAACTATTGTTAATTTCCTATCATCTTGTTTTGCAATTCTGTATTTTTTTATTGTTTTTTTAAATTCTCTTTAAAATAAAAAAAAACATGAAAACACAGATGGGTTCACTGTAATCTCTCCTCTCTCTTCCTCTTCCTCTCTGTCTCTCTCTTTTTGGTACCAGGATTCGAACTCAGGACCTTGCACTTGCCAGGCAGGTGCTTATGCCACTGAGCTATATCCCCGGCCCTCTCTCGGCCCTCTCTCTCTCTCTCTCTCTCTCCTTCATAAATTATTTTTTTCAGTGCTGGGCATGGAGCCCAGGGCCTTGTACAGGCCAGGCACTCACTCACCCACTCAGCCACATCCCCCCAGCTCTCTGTACGTTCTTTTTCCACGTATTCAAGCTCTTTTGGACTTGAATGAATGGAAAGCAGAATGCCCATGAGACCAAGCACACTCTAGTGGACAAAGACACGTTACCCAGCTTTGACTGTAGTTGTCAGCCAGCTGTGTGCTGACGTGAGTCTGACGGGAGAGGGGACCAGGGATTAGGGGGGACTCACTGAAAGTCCACTTCCCTGAGCCTCGAGAGTCTAAGATTCAGGGTAGCACTGCCACTTTCTCTCAACAGTTACTGGCTCCGAATTTCTACAATCACGTGCTAACGTCAGAAACCTCAACTACATGTGGCTTTCATCATAAAGCCATTCCAAATCGAATCTAGCAGCATCCCAGTGTAGGAGGTGGCAGGGTTGGGGCAGAAATATAACAACGTCATTAATGTTCCCGCTTTGATATCATCAGCATGTTGACTTTAACCCTCACCTCTGCCCTCTTGGTCACAAAATGGATGCCACAGCTCTGAGCTTCTCCTCCCTCAAAGACAATGCTTGAGGTCTCTTTTTCTAAAAGGGGGGTCTTTGCCAGAAGCCTTGTACACACTCCCATTCAAGTTCTATTGCCTGTGCCCAGCTGCAAGAGAGGCTGGGAAGATGAACGTCTTGCATTTTCAGCCCCTATTGTGGAAGAACGAAGCTGGGCCGACTGCCTGGTAGGCAAACCAAACACCACCACAAGTCCCAGTAATGGGAATGAGAAGCAGTAACAACAGTTAGGATGAACTATACCACTCACACACACCAGGCACCATCCCAAGGACTCGCCACGCACTGGCTCAGCTCAGCCTAACAGATCCTGTTGTACAAGATCGTGCTGTTCTCACCCTCATTTCACAGGCAGGAAACTGAGGTCCAGAGAGGTTTAAAGAACTTTCCCTGAGAACCAACAGTTAGAAAGCCCAGATTTGGCCTCTGGAGACCAAGATCAACAGCATAGCTCTTGTTCTCAAAGGACCGCAGTTCAGAAGAACCGAAGGCTGGGAAACAAAGCTTTGCGAACGGCGGGTGAGGTAAGTGCTAGTCAACAAGAAGCGGCCAGGACCGCACTGTGCATCTAGGGAAGCTCCTGCAGGAAAGGACCGAAGGACAGTGCTTGGAGCAGGCAGGCTGCTCAGGGGCCTCAGCTGGTGGAGGGTCCTCCAAACGGGAGAGAATACAGCAGTGGTGCCTTTTGCAGATCTGTGACCAGAGGGCCCTTCCTGAGTGTCCCACTGCCTGTGACAACCCCCCCCCAACCCATTTCATGCTGGAGGTACTGAGAGCATCCAGCCAACCACGGAGAGTAATTTATATTACACTCCAGGGCTTCAGGGCCTGGCATCAGATGTGATTTGATCTGGAACAACAAATTTCTATGGCATTTCATACATTCAGAGAGAAATCCAACCAGGTTTCAGAGGTACAAGCGCAGATTGGTAGAAACGCAGGGAAAAAGAACCACTGGGTCTGTCGTAAGAAAGAAGCTGGGTGTGGTGGAACAAACCTATAATTCTGGCACTTGGGAGGCTGAGGCAGGAGGATTGCTGCAAATTTGAGGCCAGCCTGGGTTATATAGTGAGTTCAAGGCCAGTTTGGACTACATAGAGAGACAAAAGAAGAAAGAAAGAAAGAAAGAAAGAAAGAAAGAAAGAAAGAAAGAAAGAAAGAAAGAAAGAAAAAGGAAAAGAGAAAGAGAGAAACAAAGAAAGAAAGAGAGAGAAAGAAAGAGAAAGAGAGAAAGAAAGAGGAAAAAGAAACAGAAAATAAGAAAGAAAAGAGAGAGAAACAACAAAGAATCCAGAGAAGGATCAACAGTGGAAGTGCAGTTTAATCAGAGTACTGAAGGATAAATAGGAGTTCACGAAGGAAACAAGAGAAAAAGGAGTATGCAAAGGCAAAGAGCTATGAAAGACATTATTCCTCCTCAGACCTGTGTGTGGAACACTGGGGAAACGGCACGGAGGACAAGAGATGAGGCAGGTGCAGGAGACTACGGAGTTTTACTTGAACCTCAAACGCTTAGGCAAGGAACACAGCCCTTAAAAAGGCAGAGATTGGCTTGGGTGTAGCTCAGTGGTAGAGCACTTACCTAGTGTGCCTACGGCCCTGGGGCTAACACGGCTGACCTCTTTATAAAGTGACTTTACGGGGCTGGGGATTTAGCTCAGCGGCAAAGCACCTGCCTGGCAAGCGCAAGGTCGTGAGTTCAATTTCTAGCTACCGGAAGAAAAGAGAAATAAATAAATAAATCAATAAACTGACTTGACCCATAACTCCAGTGCTTATGTCAGATACCATAGGAGTAAATTTCTCCTGAACCACAATTTTCTCAGATGCAGGAAGCAGCTCCTGACTTTATTAACACATTTACGTTAAGCCAGTGAGGCTGGGGATATAGCTCCGCGGCACAGCGCCTTCCTAGCAAGCATGAGGTCATGAGTTCGATTCCCAGTTCCAAAATAAATAAATAAAGCCAGGACCCCCTGATATAAGGCTGGGGAGAGTGTGAATCTGTCATTATGGGGAACACTCTTCACCCAGACTACTGAGTAGAGAACCCCAAGATCTGACCCAGTCTGGATGGTGGGAGAGGGCCTTGTGATTGTCACCTACTCTGGTGACTTCCAGAGTGTGAGCTGCTCTCTGCCATCCTCCCAGCTGACTCCCTGAGGCAAGGCATGAGACTTTTTCCCTGGTGACATTCCTCCTCCAGTTTGTGGGTCTCCTGGGGACACAAGCTGACGTTTCCCTTCAAGGTCCTCCCTCAGGTGATAGGAAGGAGCCAGACATGGATCCCAGGCATCTTCAGGACCTCCACCCATCCCCAGCCCCAGAGCAAGGAATCAGCCCAGCTCAGCTCTCTGACCAGACGTTTAAACTCCTTCTGGGGTGAAGTTCAACCTTGTCCACAGTAGTGCACTTCAAACTAAAAGTCACAGTCCACCAGTAGCTTATAAACCAGTATATTGCATCATGACTTGTAATGCTTTAATAATTACTCTATCTAATATTATTTAATATCAGAAGACTGAATGACTCACTATTTTCTACTTTTGTTTGTTTGCTTGCTTGGGTCATGCATGCGTTTGTTCATCAGCCACCTAAATTTTTTTTTATTTCCCCAAATATCCAATTATGAACATGTTTGAAGAGAGCAAAAAGAATTGTACAGTCTGTACCCACATTCCCACCGTCTACATTCTATCATTAGGATGTATTTTTCAGACTCAAGGGTTATTTATATACAGCATAATTTAGCTTTTTTAGGGTAAAATTCTATGGGTTTTTGCCATGCACAATTGATTAGTCATCTCATAATCAACCCAGAACTGTTTTTTTTTTCTATCCAAAAATTCTCCCATGCTCTTTGCATTTGACCCTGCTTCCTACACTTCGTGCCTAGCAACCCCTGGGCTATTTTCTATCCCTGTACTTTGTCATACAAATAGAATCATACACCATGTGCACGCCTGTAATCCCAGCACTCGGGAGGCTGAGGCAGGAGGATCACTGCAAGTTCGAGACCAGCCTGGGCTAAAAGTGAGCTCAAGGCCAGCCTGAACTGCATAGCAAGACCCTGTCTCAAAAAGACCAAAAAAAAAAAAAAAAATCATACACCACGTAGCATGCTGAGTCTGGCTTCTTTAGTACTGCATAACATATGAAGCATTTGAGATTTATGCATGGAGTATACCATGAGACCCTTCCTTTTATATAGCTCAGGAGTATTTCCTTGTATGGATATGTAGCAGAAGATGCCCCCCACCCCCAGCCTCTATACGTCAGTTTCTTGGTTTCCCAGGTAACAGTTCCTGTGCCAGTTCCGGTTGCTCCTGTCTCTTAGAAACGGCTGGTCACTGTGATGCACATTGTATAATAAACCAGTCCCCAGTGACAAGCCGTTCTGCCTCTGTGCTTCCTGCTTGCTTGTCCCATATAAGCGCTAGACCACCAGAGATCAGGGCCTGATATTCTGAGAGTGATCCTGATCAGGGCCCGTTGATGTAGATAAATCTGCCTCCAAATCCTGGGTATCATTTCGGTGTTTCCGTTTGCCGTTGCAGATGTATTCACTAACAAAGGGACATCAGAGTGGTTTCCATTTGGGGCAATTATGAATAATGTTGCTATACACATCTGTGGATGTGTGTGTGTGTATGTATGTGTGTGTGTACCCAAGTTTTCATTTCTTTAGGGCGAATACCTAGGAATGGGAAGGTGGGTCCTGTTTTACTGTGTGAGAAACTTTTCCAAATGGCTATCATTTTGCATTTCCATAGCAACGTATGAGAAGTCCAGTTGTTTCTATCTTAACCATTACTGAGTATTGTGTCTCTTTAAATTTTTAAACACTCTAATGCTTGTGCAATGGTGTCTCAAAATGCCTTTAATCTTCCTAACAATCAATGATGTTGAGCGTCTTTTTCATTTGCTAACCATCTCCATTACTGTCTGCATTTATGTATTCTCCCCACGTTAGCTTTGCATCTCCGTGAGCCAAATATCTAAGAATATCAACGTAAAGGAGAAAAGATTTCTCTTGGCTTACGGTTTCAGGGCTTTCAGTTCATGGTCGCCAGCTCCATTGCTTTAGGCCTGAGGGGAGACAGACCCACCGTGGTGGAAGAGTACAGCAGGGGAAAGCTGCTCAGCTCAGGCACCCAGGAAGCAAAAAGGCAGGCCACAGGAGGGGCCAGGGACCGGATGTCGTTTCCAAACTCTCATCCTATGATCTGTTCCCTTCACCTAGACCTGAACTCTTGTTTCCAGGGCTTCCCAATAATGCCATCAAAGTATGATCTCATCAGTGGCTCGGTCCACTTGATGAAGTTAGAGCTCGCATAATCCAATCACTTTCCCCAAAGCCTATCAGTAACCGAGCCTTCACCACAGGAGCCTGGGGACTATTTCAAATCCCATGGCCCATTTTTTCAAATTGAGTTACTTTCTCCTTATTGGGTTTCAAACGTTGTTTATCTATTCCGGATGTGAGTCCTTCATTAGATATGTAATTTGGAAATATTTGCTCATGGTGGGTGGCCTATCTTTCTTTTCTAAGTGTGATTTGCGCAAACATCACCATGAGCGTTTTTAGAACATTTTCATTAACCCAAGAAGAGCCCCTGAGCCCCTTAATCATCAGTCTCCAACTCTCCCTTTTATACCCCTTGGGTCCAGGAAACCACAAACCTACTTTCTGCCTCCATAGTTCCGCCTCTTCTGGACCTTTCATAAAGTACAATCATATAAAAGGTGAAACTTTATGACTTGCTGTATCAGTCAGGGTTCACTAGAGGAACAGATACAATACAAGATAGACAAATGTACAAGGAATTACAAATTTGGCTTACAATGGTCAGCTACAGAGTTGGATGAGGAAGCGTGCAGAGGGTGTCTGCACGCTGGAAAGTGAAAAACCCAACCCCCGGCCTGGAGCTCGCTGCAGTGTCCGTGCAAGTCCGTATCAAAAGGCTGATGAGTCTGTGACAGAATGCTGAAGAATCTACGATGAAGGCCGGAGAGCCAACACCAGAAGGCTGATGCGTCTGCGACAGAATGCTGGAGAATCTACGAGGAAGGCCGGAGAGCCAACACCAGAAGGCTGATGCGTCTGCGACAGAATGCTGGAGAATCTACGAGGAAGGCCGGAGAGCCAACACCAGAAGGCTGATGAGTCTGCGACGGAATGCCAACAGTCTGCACCAGGAGCCATGAGACGACCAAGCTAAAGGCGAAACCGGAGCTCCTCTCAAGAAAACACCCACCAGTCCTGCCTCAATTCCTTTTATTATGCAGTCTAGCTGCTCTGGGGAGGTGGGGGTGGTCCTCCACACCCACACCCTCTGCATGCCTGCCTCCTGCACAGGCTCAGGATGAATACAAAGTAAGCACCCTGGACCCCTTCTGAGTTGCATAGTTAACCTTCTAAACTTCTCAAATTAACACAATAAACAACATCCCAGAAGGGTAAGGGCATGTCCTTTTCACCCCAAGAGGCAGAACTGCTGAGTCACGTAGCCAAACGTCTAGACTCCCCAAGTTGGCACAATGTATCAACCATAACACTTGCTTCTTTTGCCTGCCTAGCATAAGGTTTGCAAGGTTCATTCACATTATAACATGTCTCAATATGTTATTTCAGGCTGGTGATACAGCTTAGTGGCATAAGTGCCTGCCTGGCAAGCACAAGGTCCTGAGTTCGATTCCCGGTACAAAAAAAAAAAAACATGTTATTTCTTTCTATTGCCAAATAATATCCCTCCTATGGATATCTTAAAGTTTGGATCTCCAATGTGCCCCAAAAGCTCAGGCACTGAAAGCTTAGTTCCCAGTGCAGCGGTGTTCAGAGATGGGAGCTTTAGGAGGAAAGTGGATGGTGAGGATTCTGACCTCACCAGTGGAGTCACCCATTGACAGATGCATAGCTTACCAGGCTACTGGGAGGCATGGAAACTAGGAATGGAAGATAGTTGGAGGAACGAAGGCATGGCCTTGAGTGGTATAATTTGTTCTCAGCCCACCTTCGCCCTCCACAGCTGAGCAGCTTGCTGTCAAACAAGCCCCGTGAAGCCTGAGCCAAAATGAATCTTTCCTCTTTTAAGGTGACTTCCTCAAGGATTTGGTCCAGCAGTGGGAAGCTGGCTAACACAGGCCACCTCACAGTGTATTTACCACTGATGAGCTTATGGGTCATCTCCACCTTTTGTCCATTGTGAAAAATGCTGCTGTGAACATCTGTACAGAAATCTCCGTGTGGACCTGGGGATGTTTTGCTTTCTTTTGGTTGCCCACCAGGGAATGGAGTTAATGGATCACATGGTAACTGTATGTTTAAACGTGGAGGGCTTTCCAGGCTGTTTTCCAAAGTGGCAGGGATGTTTTCCATCCCCCCCGGCATCATTTGTACGAGGAACCCAATTTCTCTTCATCTCAACGCTTGATGCCATCTGCCTTTTTGTTGATAGCTGTTCTAGTGGGCATGAAGAGGCATCTCCCTGGGCTTTGATTTGACTTTCCCTGATGACATCTTTACACTGCTAGTTGGTCACTTTTATATCTTCAATGGAGAGCTGACTCTTCATGTTCTTTGCCTGTTTTTAAATCAGTTTTTTGTATCATTATTCTTGGAGTAGCTTATGTATTCCATACACGTAGTCTTTCATTCAATATATGACTTCTCAAAATATCATCTCATGCCATGAATTTTCTTTTCACTATCTTAGAATTAGTCCACTTTATGTTGCTATAAGGAATTCCCTGAGGCTGAATAACATTCAAAAAAGAGGTTTGTTTTGCTCATTGTTCTGGTGGTTCAAAGGCATGGTGCTGGCTTCTGCTCAGCTTGAGTGAAGCTCTTTGGTAAATGGCATCACAGCAGGAAGAGGCCATATGGGGGCACAGGAAACCAGAATGAAGAGGGATATTTAATAATCACACACGCACCCTCTAGAGAACTAATTTAGGGCCTGGGAAAACTACCTGAATACCTCTGAGGCCACGCCTCCATTGACCAAAGGACCACCCACTTACAGTCCCACCACCTTAAAACTGCCACAATGAGAACCAAGCTTGCCACGCATGCACCTTGGGACACAGACCACATCCAAACCTCAGCAGCGCCCTGGAAAGCACAAATGCTTTCAGTTGCTATGGTGTCTGGTTTATCCATTTCCTTTGTTGCTTGTACTTTTGTGTCATAGCTAAGAAACCGTGGTCTCATCCCGGGTCAGGGAGATTTACATCTATGTTTTCTTCTTAGGTCCTTGATCCATTCTGAGACCATTTTTGTACAAGATATGCGGTAAGGACCCAACTTTATTCTTCTGCCTGTGGATATCCATTTGCTCCAGCACCATTTACTGAAAAGCTTTCTTCTTATGAGTTGTCTTGACATGTATTAACATTTTTCATATTAGCTTTATCACATATCTATACATCTTCCCATCCCTCTATCCACACACCAATCCCCCTTGTTTTTTTATTCATTTTTTAAAAGTTGCAGACACCAGAACTCTTCTTCCTAACGTGTCAGCATGTGTACCATCAACTAGAGTTCAGTATTTATCTGTAACACTACTTTTTCTTATATAAAATTTACACACAATGAAAACGCACAAATCTTAAGAGCACCAGTTTAAGAGTTTTGACAGAATGCACCCACCTGTGCAATGCAAATCCTTATCAGGATATAGAACACCACCACCAGCATCACCACCACCCCCAGAAAATTCCCTTACGTACATTTATTTTTATGTATTTATTTTTGACGAATGCATGTGCCCGTGTAACCACTACCTAAATCAAGATACAGAACATTTTCATTTCCTAAGAAAGTTTTCTTTTACTTCTTTGAAATCAGTATTGACCCACCCTGTCCACCCCCACGCCACCATCAAGTTCATTTCTATCATTTATTTTTGCTTGTTATGAAATCTCCAATAAGTAAAACCATATTTGTGACCAGCTTATTTTGCCCCAACCCACATTTTGAAAATAAAATAGAAAAAAAAAATGAACAGTTAGTTCCAGGGCAATTTTTTTTTTTTTTTTTTTTTTGCTTTTTGAGACAGGGTCTCGCTGTGCAGTCCAGGCTGGCCTTGAGCTCACTTTGTAGTCCAGGCTGGTCTTGAACTTGCAAGGATCCTCCTGCCTCAGCCTCCCAGGTGCTGGAATTACAGGCGTGCACCGCCACGCCCAACCCTAGATCTTTCTTTCAGATAGACATTAGATAGATGTGGTCTGAATGTACGCACGCCCCTGGATGAGTGGGTGTGAGAAAGATGTGGGCCAAAATAAAAAATGCATTTCCTTACTGTGAATTATTTGCAAAATGATTTAAAATTTTGATCCCAAAACTCCTCCTACGCGTTGGTGGAATAGGGGTGAGCATAGCTCCCTCCAAAACGCCCCCTGGGTCAGAGCCTGTTTCTTTTCTGCCTGGTGGCTTCCCTCCCACCTCAGCTCCGCTCAGCGTCACCTTCAGCCCTTCCCACTCCTGTTTCTTCACTGAGTTCACGCTCCCCACCTGTCCCGCTCACCCCCACGCTAGAGAACTCCTATTCATCCATTTGATGTCTTTGTGGTTAGCATTTCCTCTCAAAAGCCCAGTTTTCATGTTTTGAAGCCCCAAGCCAGTGTCATGCCGTCTCGCTCAGTCACTTTCTCCTCCAGCTCACCAGAAGCTCTGCGGTGACCCTGGCAGTCCCCAGTTCCCGGGAAGGAGCGGCACACAGAGGCCATCGATAAATAGTGAGTGAGCGCCTGGACGGGCGACAGCGTTACACACAAACCGGCCTGATTATTTCCCAAGGCCACGTTCCTATTTACTTTATCATTCTGTGCACCTCTAACTTATTTCTCATTCTTTTCTATAACCTCCTTCAACAGCCCTGAAATCCCTCCACCCCCAGTGCCAGCGCTGTCGTCACTGTTATTTCCTCCCAGCCAAGGAGAGGCAAACAACTGTCAGCTGTGGTCATGAGGTGACCTTGTCTCCTGCATTCGTGATCTTTGCCCCTGAGCCTTGTCCCTCTTGCCAAAGTGACAGTAATTCTGTCTCAGTGGGTGTGGGAGGAGGAGGGGTATATGTGTGTGTGTGTGTGTGTGTGTGTGTGTGTGTGAGAGACACATTCTTATCATTACAGAAGAGTTTTTAAAACTTTAAATTCTGTGTTAGCAGTTTTATCAGGCAGTACACCTTACTGAAATACATATATGACAAGACAGCTCTCTCACCTAAAAGCAAATGGGTTTTGTTTTGCATTGTTTTTGAGATAGGGTCTTGCTATGTAGTTCAGGCTGGCGTTGAACTTGGGGCAGTCCTCCTGCCTCAGCCTCCCGAGTGCTGGGTAATCCCAAGGTGTGTACCACCAGGCCTGGATGCAAATGGGTTTTAAGGGATAATTGTCAGAGCATGTGAAGAGAAGAGAGGCTACAGGATTAGAGATTTTAATGTCCTGTCCTTCGATTCAGCAGCTTCATTCTTCCACATCTTTCTTTGGGAGACAGACAAGCACACAGTGAGAGGTGTGCATCAACTTTGTTCATCACAGTGTTTAGAACAAGGCAACATGGGAAAGAACTTCAATCTCTACCTGGCAGAGCTGATTCAATACTCACGGTGGCAGTCAGCTTCCTATTAGTCGAACAAATTCCAGGACATGATCAATTTACACAGAATAAAGGCTTATTCTTCCTCACCATGTTGGAGTCCATAACTCATTGGCCCCAACACGCCAGGACAGGGACGTATAGCAAAGCAAAGCATGGCCAGATGGGAGAGAGGGAGGAAAGAGGAGGAGACTGCAGTCCCACAAGCCCCATTAAGGCCCTGTCCCCAGTGCTCTAACTTCCTCCCACTAGGCCCCGCCTCTTAAAGGTTCTACACGCCCCCAACAGCACCAAGCTAGGGACCCAGCCTGTAACATGTGACCTCTGAGGCCATGTCAGATCCAAAAGATAGCACCAGAGCACTAGAGCGGCATGCTGCCAGCAAATGGCCAAAGAGTGGTTTATCAGGGGTGGGCAAACTTTTCTCTAAAGTGCTGGAGAGTAAATGAATAGGTATGGTTGTGTTCTAACAACACACATACCCACCCACACACACACACATTACTTAACCTCTCTGAGCCTCCACTTTCTCACTTGTAAAATGAGAAGTTGCAGGGTTATCGCAAGGTTAAGTGAGACAATCGATTCTACGGCCCTGGGTACAGTGAGTATATGTTTCCAGGATATGAAAGCTGCAGGACTGAGTCTAGTTGGGGAGAACGGACTCGAGGGGTATGTCCAGGTGTCCCAAGGCGAGAGGAAGAGAGAAGACACAGACTGAGCAAGCTGAGTTAAACACGAGCACACGGGTGGCACCAAAGGACCAACGAAGGGCATCACCGGGGATGAGGAGCACTGAGAGGACCCAAGAGTAGATTCTGGAGCTCGGAGGCTACTGCCTTTAGGAAATGCACTCTTGGAACACAGGGAGGTACGAGTTTGCTTTCAAAGCATCCTGTGTGGCCCACCACCTCCTTTGGTAGGACAGCCAGAGGGCAGGCGAAGGGTATGGCCCTCTGGGCAGCCCACAGGCCGTCCCTGCCCCTTGTCCTGGAGACAAACCAGTTCACACTTCCTCTGACAGAGGCTGAGCCCCAGTTCTCCAGTGGGAGAGTAAGATAGAAAAATCCAATGAACCGGCTTAAGGAAATAGCCAGAAAGTCCACAGTAAGATCTGATTGGCTTCAGGCCTGGCTGGGTCCAGGAGCTGCAACACGTTCACTCTCACATCTATTGATTCCCTGCTGTGAGTTTCAAGGACAACCAACAGTAAGGAAGTCAAAAATCTCATGCCTTCAACATCAAATCTTGTGCAAAAGAGGTTAAGGCTTCCTGTTCAAGCAGCCACAGAAAGTGCTCAGCTTCCCTCTTGGACGGCGCTCCTGGCTTGGAGCACATAGGTACCGCCCCCCACCCACACCCCCTGGCCAAGGCCAACCTCTGAGGCACACAGACCAGAGAAACAGGGTCACCGGTGGACCTAGGCATGGGCACATGGTCCGGTCCTGGGCTGGGCAGGAATCCCCACCCAGATATACTGACAGAGAGCGGGGCAGGGAGTGGGACCCCTAGTGACCAAGCAGGGTGTGGTCCTGCCAACGGGTAAGGCTGCTCTTGGAACCTGGAAAGCCATCTTGAAAAGCACGGAATACGGAGCCCTGTCCTGCTGAGAGTTAGTTCCTTAACAGTCTGGTGCTTTGAGTCTTCCTCTGCTGCTTCCTGCTGGGAAGTCCTGGTGACTCACAGAGTCTCTGCGATCTCGGCCACCTCCACGATCCCCTTGTTCATTCATTCATTCATTCATTCATTCATTCCCTAACGTCTACCATGCCCTTTGTAGATGTTGTGGGGGGAGGCAGGACAACTGCTCACAGGTGTGTCGGTTTCTAGCGCAGTGCCTGGAACCTAGTAGGTGCTCACTAAATACTGGCTCAAGGAATAAATGAACAAGACAGATGGAGCCACTGTCCTCAGAAAGCTCACTGTCTACAGAGAAAACCAACACAATCAAAATGTGTACGTCATTCATCCCCAGCGCTGCAGGCTAACAGGGGAGGCTGCCTGGTCCAGAAAGCTCAGGAGGGCTCCACTTAGAAGACACAGGTCTTTGAGGGCAGGAGTTCTCAAGGCTAAGGAGAGGTGCAAGCCCACAGCCAGCCTAACGAGCAGTGTGTACAGTGGCCCACAGGTAGAGGAGCAGAAATTAATCTCATCAGTCACTTACTTTGGACCAGAAACATTGCATCTGCTTTTGGCTTCTTGGGAAGGATTATCATCTATCCCCAGTGAAACAGGAGCGCGCTACCTCTTGGTATTCCTGGAAGCCTTCCGCCGCCGGCTCTGCCCTCTGCAGGGCCTCAGCTCCCACTTAGATGATTCTGACAGGCCACAGCTGGTCAACAGCTGTGTCCCCCCCCTCGGGTTAACCATCCACCCACACAGCTGCTGAAGGAACTGTTCTAAAGTCTGAAGTGCTGGTTTGGGGACTTTGGAAGACACACATCCTCCAAACACTGCGTTCAATAAATACCTTTTGTAGTAAGGCCCTGAGCTGCATTTCCTGTCCTACCCACCCTGACCCTCCCTGCCATGTACCTGTACCCTGGGCACCAGAGCTCCCTTCTGCTTCTATCAGGATGCTTCTCTGCCTTCAGTGCAGCATTCCTCTTTGCAGCAATGCCCTTGGGACCTGTTTTGGGGGCCCCCTCCCTAGCACACCCCACACTTTCTTTTTGTTCTGCAGTTTTAGCCTCCATCACGGTTTGCTCGTGTTCAACTTCACAACTATTTCTCAAGCCCCCACTGATCTGAGCTGCAGATGAATCCCAGAGGATGGGAAATGGGAGGAGGAAGGCAGAGGCTGTGCTCCTGGGCAGCCCACTGTCTTCTGGGAGAGGCTGTCTCAGGCCTGAGGCCTGAGGTCAGGCTACTTTGGATGGGCCTGGGCCTGATGCCTTTAATGCAGTGGTTCTAATCGGAGGGTTATTTTTACCCTCCAAGGGATTTATTTATTTATTTAGTCTTTTTTGAGACAGGGTCTCATTATGCACTTCAAGCTGCTCTTGAACTCACTATGTAGCCCAGGCTGGTTTCAAACTCACAAGGAGCTCCTGCCTCAGCCTCCTGAGGAGTGCTGGGATGACAGGCATGAGCCACCACACCCGGCCCCTCCGGGAAACTGGAAACAACTGGAAGGAAGCTACTGAAATCTAGTGGGTGGAGACCAAGATCTTGCTAAACATCCTACAGTGCACTGCAACGCCAGCACAGCCAGGGCTGAGAAATCCTGCGATAGCTTTTCCTGAATGTGGAGCTACAGAAGGGCTTCCCACCAAGAGTGAGAGATTCCAGTTTGTGAACTCTGAAGCTTCTCTCTCCTGAGAAAGTGCATTCATCAGCACGCACCAGGTGGGGCGGGTGACGGTTCATCCTGATGATCAGCTTGGCAGGGGGAGGGATGTGGAGAAGATTGACAAAGCATGCCTCTGGTGCAGTCTAGGTAGGGATGTGATTTGGGGACTCTGTCTGGTCCCTGGCTCCTTCTGCGTTAGTCTTTCCTCTGCTCTCTTCTTCCTGGTTGCCATAAGGTAAGCAGCTTTTCTCCACCGTGCCTTCTTTTTTTTTTTGAGACAAAGTCTCACTATGTAGTCCGGGCTGGCCTTTAACTCACTATGTAACCCAGGCTTGCCTCAAACTCACAAGGATCCTCCTGCCTCAGCCTCCCAAGTACTGGGATCACAGGCGTGCGCCATCGTACCCAGCTCCACCGTGCCTTCTGCTCGGGTGTTTCTGCCTGGCTTCCGGCCAACCGTGGGCTGGAACCTCTGACACACTGAGCCAAAATGAACCTTTCCTCTAAGTTGTGTGCGGCAGGGATTTTGTCCCAGCAATGGAAAGGTGACTAATCACCCTCTTCATATCTGTTTCACCAGTGAAATGAAGCCAGACTGTTACCTACTGCTTCAAGGGTTTTTTGGAGGATTAATTAATACATGGCTATAGCTTACTGTAGGGCCTGGCTCACTGTAAGTGCTTAGCTCTTATTATCCTCTCATCACATGATCACCACTACTGCTGCCACCAACATCATCAGCCCACCACCACCCTCATCGTAATCATCATTACCATCATCATCATCACCACCATCCTCATAATCAACATCATCAACATCATCACCACCACCACCATCCTCATAATCAACATCATCACCTTCACCACCACAACCACCACCA